GGGGCGGGGGAAATTAGGAATGCTATTTGCTCTTTAAAAAACCCAACCAAACCCTAGATAATCATATTCTCTGACAAAGCTACACTTGGGGAATTACTCTTTTTAAAACATTCCCACTGTACAGTGAGGGCTATGTGTCTGTATAGATTTTGACCCAACAGGCAGAGTCAAATTCATCGAGTTCATTATAAGCACACTGCATTCTGCCAGGATATCAAATAAAATTCTAGATTTCCCGATTAACAAAGAATATCATACCCTCTGACCCCAGAAAAACAACATTTAGTTTCTTGGTTATGGGATCTCAGCAGGCCTTGCTTGTGACAAGAGTAAAAGTTATTTTCTCTCTATGTTATGTTTCTTTAGCAAATGTTTTTAAAATTGCTTAAAGAACCTAAAAGGTCATTTGAAAGTCTTATTTTTATTGTCACTGCCTCCAAAATACATTCCATAACTCAGTTTAATGTGATCTGCAGCAGGCCAAGAGTTTTACAAGCCAAGATACTATGTCTAGTCCAGTTAGAGACACGACAGAGTTCAGTGAAGAGGGGAGAGTGAAGATCTAGTTTGAGAAATGTAATTTTGCAATGCCTATAAAACATGGAAGGAAAATATGTCTCTGCATTCAATTTTGATGACTGAATGTGTTCATGACCTTTCCTAAGGTAGAGGAACCCTACCAAGCGCTTTATGAGGAAACAGACAAATGTCTGAGGACATCTGTTTAACAGCATGTCAAGACAAGGTTCAGCTAGCTCCCAGAGTAGTCCCTGCTCCTGTAGATAACTCAACTTTCTCCTGGCTTCATCAGCAACAAGCCTCCGTAGTCCACAAGCCAGTGCAGAGAATAGTGGGGCAAGAACTTGTTGTTGTGTTACTACTGATACCGCATCTATCCACTGTATCTTCAGATGAGGAAATGTACTGTAGTTTGCACATGGTAGTTATAATTTTCATATGAAGAGACCCTTCCTCAGGCCACTTTCATCTCCCTAAGTACAAAATACTTCAGACTACAAGTGGATTCATCTGTGTCAGACCGGCCTGTTGCATTGCAGGGGCAAGAATTCACTCATTTGAGTCTGGACTGTGATTCTGTCAGCTGTTATCCTCCCGGTTGCCCGTTGATGCTGGACAGCCTTAATCTTGCCAGTAGTCACAGGACTTTGCAGTATTTGGCCCCACGTGCTTAGTTTATACCCTCAGGGTTTATGGGAACCGTTCTGCCACTGAAGAGATTCTTCACATCTTTGCTTTTTATTAACCGTTTTCCTGACAATGTCATTATGACCACCAAAGTCCTACATGGTTTGGAGCTCTTTTCTCCTAACCGCTGGCCTTAAAAGCTTAGGTCACTGGAATATCTTAAATCCAAGTTATCTTTCTCTGTGTTATAAGAGAGCTGAGATAAGTTAGAACAATCAACTGAGGGATGCAAAGAGATTGTTTTGTTTAATTACAGCTGTGTATGTCCCAGCAATTCATCAAGTATTGCCATTTCTACTTGTTTTGCAGTGGCACAAAAAGTACAAACCTGGGGTTGGCCTCCATTGTGTGAGTCACACAGCAAACCCAGAACAGGGCACTTGTCCTTGCCACATGCTGCATACAGTATTTCTTTCTTTCAGTCATCTGAGGGTTATACACGAGGTCCTCAGACTAAGACTTTAGTCCGTTTGATAGGTAGGTATCTGGAGATTCAGAGAGGAATGTAAAGACGACTCCTTAGTTTTTGTGCTTGTTTGTCCATGAAGATGGTTTCTACCACGGTATGCTAACTCCTGATTATGACTTCTGAATATAAACTGTAATTTTCTTTGAAGAGACCTATATGTTACTGTAAATTCATTCGGCTTTCCCTAGTAAACTACTAATCCCATAATGTTTAAATTCCACCATCAGCCTGATTAATACAACTGTATTCTGCTTGATGGAAGTTACAGAGGCACACGTTTCCTTTCCAGTTGTTAGATAGAGTCTCAGCCACAGTTATTTGTGCAGTAGTAATTGTACTGACCTAAATAAGTTTATTCTGGATTTACACTGTCATAAATAAGACCAGAATTTTGATTATTCCGGTACACGACCAGCGTTAGCAGAGCACCTCAGTTCCTAGTAAATGTTTACACAGAGTAATAACAACTGCTTGTTCCCTCACTTTTCCTGTCTCACCATCTGAAAAGAAAAACAGCTTTGTTTTACTGCGGCTATTGTGCTCAGTTTGCAAATGTGTGCGATTGTGGTCTGAGAGAGTTGGGGATATGTGTGAGAGCAGTCGTGAATATGTTTGGTTTGACACTTCTTGCCAAAGTGTCTCAAATGTGGAAATTTGTTCTGCATACAGTTTCCCAGTTCACTTTTGCCTTCAGTGGGAAGATGTAATGTCGTCTAGACAGCCACCCCGTGAAAGTTCAGTCTCCTGTACGCATATTTGTTTTTCTGATGAGGGACAGTTTCCTTGGTTCAACAGTATAGCCGCTGTGGATAATTCATGTCCACAGAGGAGGAATACTCTCTTAGGGAGCAATGTCCAATCCCACTTTGAGTCTAGTGGCAGAGACTTTTGGCTGGTCTCTGATAAGCTCTTCTGAAAATCAGTTGTATTGGCCTATGTTAACGTGACTCTACAGTTCATCGCACGTTGTCTCTGCTGCTCCTTCCTCCTCAGGGGCAGGACTACTCACACTCTTCCCCTGCTCCACCGTGGGGTCCCTCCCATGGGAGACAGTCTTCCACGAACTGCTCCAGCGTGGGTCCCCCGCGGGGTCACAAGTCCTGCCAGGAGTCTGCTCCAGTGCAGGCTTTCCGTGGGGTCACATCCTTCTTCGGGCACCCACCTGCTCCGGCGTGGGGTACTCCCCGGGCTGCAGGTGGAGATCTGCTCCCCCGTGGACCTCCCGGGGCTGCAGGGGGACAGCCTGCCTCACCAGGGTCTTCCCCACGGGCTGCAGGGGAATTTCTGCTCTGGCACCTGGAGCATCTCCTCCTCCTTCTGCACTGACCTGGGGGTCTGCAGGGCTGGTTCTCTCACATGTTCTCACTCCTCTCTCTGGCTGCAGTTTCTGTGCTGCTGCAACTTTTTTTTCCCTTCTTAAATCTGTTCTCCCAGAGGTGCTACCACCATCGCTGATGGGCTCAGCCTTGGCCAGCGGTGGGTCCGACTTGGAGCCGGCTGGCATTGGCTCCATGGGACGTAGGGGAAGCTTCTAGCAGCTTCTCACAGAAGCCACCCCTGTAACCCCCCTGCTACCAAAACCTTGCCACAGAAACCCACTACAGTATGTCATAGCTTATGTCTAGAAATAAACGTTTGTCACCGTGGACACTGGGTTATCAAATTTGAGAAGTATAAAAGGGCGTCAGTGATGAGGACTGACTCGAAAGTCCACGTTGGGTATTCTGCACCACAGAGACCAGAGCATTTTTTGAAGTGTATTGCTCTTCTGGCAGTACTTTTTTAGTCTTTCTTAATCTGGGCTTTATCAGTTGCATTTAACCTTGTGCTGCTTTAAGCTAAGCATTGTTAAACTTGAAGATTTTGCTCATCGGTTTTGTAGGAAAAAGCAGATATCAGCAAAGGCTGCCATGCAGACTCCTAGCGGTGTTTAGTAAGTATGCAATACTGTAGGAGAAAGTACAGGGCCTTGAAGAAAAACTTTGAAGTAAGGGTTTGATAATGGAGGAACAATTACACGTGGCACCCCCAGCTCATTTGATTAACCTCAGTAACTGATGAAAGCGGTTTGACTATCACAGATCACATTTGTCCTACCTGCATGGTATGAAATGTTCAACTACGCCGTATTTTCCCTTTCTCTTATCCTCTTGTTTTCTATTCCGATCCATTCCCTCCTCTCACTCCTGCTAGACCCTTGAGTGTGACCACCCAGTTTCAGTTACATGGACTGAATATCTTAATAAGTTAGAGGTCTTAATTGTGCTAGATGATAGTGATGCAGGAAGTGCTTAACCTCTGTCTGCAATTGGTTTCTCTAAGAGTTTCCTCTAGACTTCATTATTTTGGGGCTCCGGATATATATTGTTCAACATAAAGTCATTTTTTATGCTTTGCATGCAGCTTAAACTTCTGAATGTGCGTTTTGTACTTGAGGAACGTCAAAGTGTAGAGTGAATACCCCGTTTGTGTCTTGAACTAAAGCCCATCCACCCAAAAATGATGGCACCAGAAAAACTAGGAGGACACTAATGCTCAGTGTGTGCAGTCACATAGTCACTTGTTTCTGAATAAAAAAGGCAATCACAAATTTTAAAAGTTTTATGTCAGGGCTAGTGTTCGGAACACTTTATAGAAAATTAAGAAACAAGATTTTGGCCTAGATTTATCATTTAAGTTCAACTAAAAAGCTGCAGACTGCTAATGGCAAAGATGACACAAATGGGGCTGGGACAGGGGAACATTACAGAAGAAAGGGGAGCGTGTATGAATACAATAGTTTTAATGGTTTGAATCGACTACAAAATAGTCACATTTTTAATCTTTTAACTTTTTGGTTGTTTTTTTTACACCTTTAAAGGGTCACATAGTATTTAACAGCGACAAATTCAATTAAGCCCTGTAAAGATCCAAAAGCTCTTTTAAAAAGCTTGATGAAACTATAAAATAATAGGGCAGATGATACTTTTGATGGACTGAAAATCAACTGATACAATTTCAGAGAAAAAAAAAAAATCTTAAAACGCTGTGGTATTTTTCCTTAAAATGCTAAATGTCCGTGACAAATGTCTTTTTGCCTGACTGGAGTTGCTGCGTACTTGATGGTCCCATGGATTTGGCATAGGGCGTTACTCAGTACTTCTGAACTTGAGGCCCTGAGTACATAGCAACTTTTGATTTGACTCACCTTGCATGTTAACAGGGGTTTTTTTAGCTGAAAGTCTTGTGTAATTATCTCTTCTAATTGTTTGCATTTTCTTTGGTTTTTTTTTTTGGTTGGTTTTTTTTTTTTTTGTGCCTGCTTTGGGAATTTATGACCATCCAGTGAGAAGGACACTAAAGAGTGGACTGACACCAGAAGAAGCCAAAGCACTGGGCCTCATCAGCACCTCTGAGATGCAGGTTTGACGTCCCAGAGGTGACGACAAGAAGAGCCGTTCATCTGAAGCACACAGGCTGACAACCCTTCGGTGTGGCATCGACCTGCCAGCCTCCTCTGCTGCTCCTGACTTCCCATCCTCTCTTAGTTCGATTTTAATAAGCAACAAAAAGCGAAACACCCCCCCCACGGCCAGGGCAGAAGAAGGGTGTGCCACAGCTCAGCACAACATCTGGACAGTAACTGAGAAAGCGCGTGAGTGCTTGTAGGTGAAAGCGTATGGCTTCTTCTCTCGTGGTGTGTTGACCTGGGTAGGAGGGGGCTCTCTCCGAGTTATCTGTCCGGTGAGCTGTGTTTACGTTGGCTTTCCTTGTGCCCCGTTTTAGTCATTGTAAATGTATGGCATTTTGTCAATGCAAGGAACAGTCCTTAAAGAGGCAAAATAACTCCTGTTACAGCGACCCTAATTTTCCTGAAGCAGATTCATTAAGCAAAGATGTGCAGTCTGTGCGACCCTGTGGTTCGGTTGGGTTTTTTTGTATTATTTTGCCACCAAAGAATGTAAAAATGTATGTGTACCTTTGTATATGTACAGAATGAATGTGTGGACATGTGTGCGTGTTTCTGTACACACACAGTCATGGCGTGAAATCATGCTCCTGCTGAAGCTAGCTGGACCATGGTTTTCACTCTGGGGCCTTGCCGTTCCACCCAGACAGGAGGAAAAGAATGTCTTTTTGTAGGAACTCAGTGTTATTCAGTGGGATTCACCCTATGGGGCAGGAGATGGCCCGCAATACAAGTGGAAAGTTCAGGATCCTGAATTCCTGTGTATTAATACACACTTATACTGTACATAGCAGCATGCACATAGAGGAGGGGACACAGAATACCTCCCTCGTGTTGAGTTATGGCTGTACTGTGCATTTGTACAGTTTCAGAGAGATCTATGCCAACAGTTTTACATGCTCGATAAATGCGTTCAGATGTTAAGGTCAAGAAGTTTTGTTCACTTGCCTGTGCCCTTCATGCTGCTTTTCTCTCCTGCAAGATAACGTGGTGGTGATTTTTTTTTTTTCAAATTAATGGATCTGAATATGAAATGGCCCTGCTAAAAGCCTGCTGTGGTTTTGCTATTCTTTACTCTTTTTTTTGTGATTATCCTCGATGCAAGTGGAGAGGGTACCACAGTGAACACTCAAATATGTTTGCCCTTATCTTACTGTTTTATAACTGACTTTTATAACTGCCCTCAGCATGTGTGTTTGAAGAACCTCTAGTCAACTCATCTGCCTTTAAGTGGAGGACGTATACGGCAGCAAAGATGAATTGCACACAGTCACCCTAGCCAGTGCTGAAGCATTTTGAAGAGAACTGCAAATAACAGTAACGTAAAAGGGAACTTTTTAAGCCAAAGTCTGTATGTGACCAATTGATCCTCAAGGATGCACAAGATTATCTCTTTCCATTGCCTTAGCCTCTGAGATTAAGGGTGTGTCTGCACAGCAGTAACAGTTGAGGCTTCCTTCAAGCTAGTTAACTGGGGAACTAATTAACTAGGGTAGCTAGTTAACTGGGTTCGATTTTGGCTGCAAAACACACTTGAAAAGTAGGATGAATTAGTAGTCTGTGCTGGGCTTCTAATGCCATAGCTATGTTGCTTCTGGCACCCGAGCTAGGTCAGGTACGTCAACAAGTTATTCTGCTCTGCTCTCATTAAGGACAGGATAATCGCTGAAGATTGTTCAGGATAGTTGAACCAAACACAATAAACCTTTGAAACCTCGGTCGTCTGTCCCATCTCACTGAGCACAGCATCCAAGTGATGAGAGAACCGGGTAGCAGACAACACTGCAGTGAGATCTGCGGTGGAACACGCTATCTACACTGTCCCTCTCCCGATCGTAACATTTCATTCCTTATTTGCCCTCACCTTGGATCTTCACGCAACAAAGTTCATGGGTAAAAAGTCACTAATGAGCAAAGGTTCTCAAGGATAGCATTGAGTTTGATCTGGTTTTCCCCTCAGCTCGTTAAAAAGTCAGTTGTACAAGTAGGCAGAAGGCAGTAGTTTTGTAATTAATAAAATGTGTTGTGTATTTGAAAGCTATGAAAAGGAGGAAGCTGGTTAGGAAATAGAAGTGGCATATCACTGTAAAATAAGCGAGACCTACAAGCATCTGGATTTTAAAGTGGATGTTTATGTGCTGCTCATCATTATGGACTTTTTAAATGTCTCTTAAGGATGCTTAGAACAAAGAAATGAAGGTAATGGGGGGTTTGTGGAGGTCTTGGAGGTCAGAAACAAGAGGAAGACACCCTGAATGTAGCGGTTATGTTGAACCGTTATACTGGTTAAGTGATAAAAGAAGCCAAAATGTAACAAAATACATTTACGTTGATGGAGGTCCTTATATTTGATTGGAGGGAGAAAATCAAACAAGTTTTTAAAACTGAATATTTTCATTAAAATATGCTGAATGTGCAACGCAGGTGGCTGTTGGTGACCACTTGCTAACAGGAGACAAATTTGTGTTTCATTTAGACATAGTACAGCATCTGCGTCTGAAACACAACATAGCTGGTGAATTACTAATAGCTGGGCAATGTATTTTCCAGGAATTGTGCAAAAATTCTGCAAAACTTCATATAATCCTTATCGAGGAGAAAATTAAATATGGGGAGTGGGGTTAGAATAAGTTCAGGAAAAAAAGCCAGTTTCTTTCAGATTCTCTGGATGCAAGTGTCTTACATGTGAAGCATGTTATTCCTTGTCCATTTTTCCACTATGTTTGTTTCTCTGGATTTTTGCCTAAGTTCCTGCTCTCTATCTGTAAAACCGATATCGATTTTTCTGAAGGATACCTTGGTCTTGTTATGCAGTGGTATACAGTAAGATTAATTCCACTGTCCTCGGTGTCTATTGCAACAAGATCATCAAAGACAGTAACAATGCAATAACTACAGCAAAGATTTCCATTTTGGTTCGTGATAAAAACGGCCAGCGGCCCAATGTGCTAGTCTGTAAGGTGGCAGTAGTTCCTCCGGAGTCTGCTAGCATGTCCTGACTGGGGGAATAACATTTGTTCCACTTCATCTAACTAGTGGATTCCAGAAGAAATGGAGGGATTGGTTATGTTTGCATGCCATTTTCTGTCTGTCTAATCGGGTTGTAGCCTTCAGGATTTGAGTTGCTGCCTGCCCCTCCATCGTCAAAAGAGCCCATCACTAGGATGTAACAGTTGTTTTAAAATGCATGTGAGAGAAGGATCGTTTTTGTGACAAATATAAAGGTCTCGGAAAGACGACGTAGTAACGCGTGTTCCCATTTCTCACTTAGAGATCCACGAAGGCTGGTTTTAACCATTTGCAGCCATGATAACTACCTCTCTTCTCTTTTTCATAGTACCAGTCAGCTGCAAATGTAGCGCCCAGACTTTTGTGTCTCCACCAAGCTCTCAGAGTCGCTGCTGGTGTTGGTTCCAGCACCCATCTGCTGCCAATAACTTGTCTGTCTACCACCGTAATGCCTTCCTGATTTGGATGCCGAGGTAAACTTTAGCATATGAAATGGCCGCCAAAGGGAAGCTATCCTAATTTCCTTTCATCTCCCTTGGTGTTTGAAAGGAGACTGCACACAAATACTTTGTATTCCCTCGCTCCCAACTGAGGGATAACTTTCAGTAGCAGTTATGTGGCTGCGGTGAAGAAACACCCCCAGGGAATGCTGTGTGCCACAATGGAGAGTGAAAGATCCCTCACAAAAATTAAATTCATCACTCTTCACCTCTCAGTAAGGCCAGGCACCAGGCTCATGGATTCCAGATGTTTTATAGCCCCTTGGCTGCTATGTGTGACCCTTCTGTTTGATAGATCCCTGTCCATAATCCAAAATCAACAAAAAAATGGTGTTTTAATGAGGGTCTTTCTTGCTCCGATAAATACTGGGAACAGCGTCAAAAGCAGTTTTTGAAATACATTTCTTTTTCTCTTTTGACCCCCCCTTTATTGTAAATCTCTGTAGTGATTGACTCTGTCAGCAAAATAAGGCATCAGATTTGTAGATAGACAAGACTTTGGCTTTAGCTTCATAGAAAGTCACATGTGAATATCTAGATAAGAGTTCATGTCCCGATTTAACAGAAATTTGGAGCAGGAGTTTTGATGTGAGTGAACAGCAAGGGGCTCCTGCAAGGTGCTCCATTCCCCCTCAAGGTACTAGATAACGCAGCAGGATGGCACCTTAAACCCTTGGTGTGCTACGCTCTAAACGTGCCCTGGCGAACGCTAAAAGCCATCAAAAAGTCACAAGCGAGGGCTACAACACCTACTGCAAACCTAAGGGGCTCGACGCTGTCGTAGGTGCAGAAAATGGTTCCTTTTGGTCAGGCTGCTCTACACCAGCATTGCCGGCAGCGATAACAGCAGCAAGCGTCTCTCCAAAACGCTTTAGAAACCGTTCGGCCGACGGTAGTAGTCCCAATTCAGGTTATTGTTTTTCCAGTGCTTTGATTTCACTGAGGTGAAATGGGGACAAGGTGGTAGCCTACCAGTTCCACGTCCTTCATCTTCCCACTGCAGCTCGTGGGCAGGCGAACACGCTGCCTGCCTCTATCTAAAGGATGTATAGGGACGATGGAAGAATGAGCATATTCCTCTCTCTTCGTACGCTCGCTACGCGCATACCGTTCCTCTCATTATCGTTGAGGTGGGTTGCATGCAGCTGTTGAAAATGAATTGCAAACGCTTGACCGACGTGTAAGGCCCACCTTCCTTTTTTTGGCGTTTCAGGTGCCATCCCAAGAAGTTTTTGGCAAGCAGTTTAATAGTTACATAGCAAGTAACGCAAGACGTTTCGGAGATGTTGTATAGTTTTATGTTTACGCAAAAAAAAAAATATTAAAATTATTTCTGATTAGTCCATTTCACATTGAGTGGCAGATAGAGATATATTTTGTTTAATCACTATCTAATACAGAGGCTTCTGTGAAAGAAAAGGTTTATTTGTAGCATTGGGTGCATTTCTCCTTTTTAAAGACTGTCTTTGCGCGTATAGTGTCCTTTTTTTGTGAGCTGGGAATTGTAAAAAAATGTAAAGTAGAAAAGGACGTGTTTCTTAGACGAAGGAGAAATACTGTAAAATTGTGTAAATGTCACTACTCGTGTTTTTTCATGTTCTGTGTAGCATAGTGTAAAATAGGCTTTCCGGCAGTGTTATTCTGTGAATTGTAATTTAAAAAACAAGCCATGCATGGTCAGAGATATTATCTACAGGTCCTTTTGGTTGAGTTTTTGGTTTTGCTTATTGTTTTCTCATTTTAGGTGAATTTGTTTTATGTTAAATTTAATTGTCCATGAAACTGCATTTTTGTTTCTCAGTTTTATTTCATAAAGAACTTGAATTACTCTATAAGATTTTATTACACACGACGCTCACCTACCGTTTGTATTGATCCTTCAAAAGCTTTGTCACATTTAGTGTAAACCAGGGGGATTTTCTTTTTAACACACCCCTCATCTGCATCTTCTGCCCCCACTCTCCCCACTTTACTGTCTGGAAAGATGGAATCACACTTTTTTTTTTTTTTTTTTTTCCTGTGCCATGCAGGGTCACTATGGAAAACTGACCACAGACCTGTGTCCAAAATTTCTTGATATAAGTAGTTAAAAAGCTCACCTCTACAGCATTATGTAAACACATCTTGCAATAAAGCTTTATAAAGCACTGATTGGGCTGG